TGTGTGTGTGTGTGTGTGTGTGTGTGTGTAGCTCTATGTAATATAGATATATAAAGTCGTACCAACCAGCACAATCTAGAGAACTGTTTCATCACAAAGAAACTCCCTCATGCTACTGCTCTATCTTTGTGCTCTCTTTCCCCTTGGACCACTTGCAACCACTAATCTGTTCCCCATATTCACAGTTTTGTCATTTTGAGAATGTTATATAAATGGAATCATGCAGTATGGGACCTTTAAGACTTGCCTTTTTCTACTAAGGATAACAACAACAAAAAAATTGAGAACAAGTAGATTTCTAAATACCAATACTTACTACTGAATCCAAAAGAATATTTTCTGGTTTCAAGTCTCTATCAAATTAGAAGGAAAGAAAAGCAAAACTGAGAATTAACTGAAATAAAATATTAAAAAGACAGCTTTACAAGTAACATTTAAAAAATTTACCGGTACACTATTTTGATGGAGTGCAAGTAACCCAATGCACTTGCAATTTCAGCAGCATAAAACCTAGCTCTGTGCTCAGGAAAGGACCGTTCTCTTTGTAAGTGAAAAAACAGCTGTAGAATTGGAAGGAAGAAAAAAGAATGTTAGGATCACTGACACATAGCATTAACCAAATATATGCTGTAAATACAAAAGTAGGAATTGCTTTTGTAACTTTGTGACATAAAAATGCACCAAAGCACAGAACTGTGACTCTTCCTTGTCTGTCTCCCACCTGACAATCATTCTCTCTCTCCAACCACATGTGTCAGTCTACACTTGCTAATGTTACTCATCTCCCATTTATTCCTCAGTCTTCAATGTGGCAGTGCTCTCACCATCCCAGGCCACCACTCTGGAAAAGATTATCAATGAAGACCAAAATGATATTGATATTGTCATGTCTTACAAAGCCTTTTTGGACTATGTTTCATTAAAAAAAAGAGAAAAGAAAACAGGGCTGGCCAGTTAGCTCACTTAGTTAGAATGCGGTGCTATAACACCAAGGAAAAGGCTTCAGATTCCCATACCAGCCAGCCACCAAAAAGAAAATAAAAACACAAAAAAACCCCACACTATTCAGAGATTGAAAACTAGTGGCCAGCGGAACAAATATAACTAACAGGTAAAATTTGCTTGAACCAAATACTGTTTTTAGGAAAATCTGAGTTAGATGATAACATTTAAAAACCGGGAAATTTGGGGATAAAAATTCATAGTTTTGGTTTCCTGTGGAAAAAACAAACAAACCACGAAGCTCTATACCATTAGGTTTAAATTCCAAAGTGGCAGCAACTGGCTGGAGCTGAGCAGCAGCTGGACTTCCCAGTTCCTTTTTTTTTTTTTTAAACTCTTGGGTTGAGGGCTTTCTCTCAGTAGGCTGCAGCAAGGGAGCTGCTCTACTGCATATCCCCAGTTCATTCGTTACACTAATTCTTCACTTATTTCTTACAATCTGTCCTTTAGCCTTTTGGTTACCTGCCTGAGGGAAGTTTACACTAGGTCCCTTGGCTTCTAAGACAATAATCTCTCCTTGGGTCTTCGCCTATCTTGGAGAGTTCCATCTCCACTCCTTTCTGGGTCCAAATGCTGCAGGGATGACAGGATTTCTGCCCCTGGTCCACTGTTATTCTTTCTCTGGATACTCTTCCCAGATACACTAATCCACTCCAGTGATTTAAACCACACCCTCTATGTTGATATCTCCCATGTGGACATCTCCAGCCCAGACCTCTGTTTGGAGCTTCTACTGTGAAGACCTATTGCCTCTGCTCTTTCTTAAATATCTTACAAGCCAACAAAGTCAACTTGTCTAAAATAAGTCCCTTACCTTCTCTTACAGTCTTAACTGCTGCTAGTGTATTCTCTCCAGCGCTCTAAGCCATGGGAGGCAACAAGGCAGTGCAAGGGGTCAGGTTTTAAAGCTGATTAGACTTGGGTTCAATTCCTGGTTTTTCTCTTTTGTGTGCAATTCATTTAACCTTTTCTTTTCTTGGTGGCTGGCTGGTAAGGGGATCCGAACCCTTGACCTTGTAACACCACACTCTAACCAACTGAACTAACCGGCCAACCCCATTTAATCTCTCTGATTCTCAAATACTTAAAAAAAAAAAAAAATTAACCTTTTCTAATTAACCTCTTCTAAAAGGTTGCGGTAAAGATCAGTTATAACAGATCCTGACAGAGGTAACTGGGGACTGACCTGGGGTTCATCTGAACTGTTCCTTTACCCTTAGCCTCTACATCCAACCAATGAATAAATTCTCCTTTTTTTATCTTCTAATTATTTCTGGAATACTAACTCCTTTTTACCCCTACCACTGCTTTTATTAGCTGTGGCCTACACTACCATAATATTCTCTTTATTGTGCTCTCAATTACATCACCCAACAACATACTTCCACTAAAGTAAACAACCTAAAATGAAAATCTGACCATGTCTCTATTAATGGCTAACATTGATAGCTTACTCAGTCAAAAGGCACTATGCTAAGAACTTTCTATACCTGTAGGTAGGATTTAACCCACCTAGCAATTTTGAGGAAGGAAATTAATAAGAAAGCTGAGGCCCAGAAAGGCTTGCTCACCCACCCAGTGTCATCAAACATATTTGTTTACACTTTGCTCCAGAAAAGATATGAAGCAGTATACAAAAATAAGTATCACATGTTAAGGTTAAAATGTAAGTATGGGCAATAGGGGGGATAATAACAGTAATAATAGTAGGGAACACATGATGAAACCACACTCCTGCCTCTTTCTATCTTTTCTCCTCATCTTTATTCCTTGTTTACCTGTTGCCCCACTCAACTCCTCCTCCACCCACCCCAGCATTCTACTATATTTCATTCTCTTTTTTTCATTATCTTAGCCTAGTGCATCTTTCAGGTAACAAGCCTACCTCTTTACACTTTTGCTGCTCAGTTTATGAGCAGTCACTGTATAAAAAGGGCTCAGAAGCAAAGCTGTAAAGCAGCACAAAGAAACCACAGATAAAACAATATGATCTCGTCTGCAGTTAGATGTCTCCCATGAACATTTCAAAGACAAAGTGTGGTCCTTAAGAATGGGCTTTGTAGTTGGGATGTATAGTTTAACTCCAGGGCCTGACACTTATTTAGGGTACAGTGACATTGAGAAAGTTACTTAACCTCTCTGAGACTCAATTTCCTTACCTATAAAAGGAGTATAAGAGTGTTTATCTCAAAGAGTTGTGGTAATTAATTGAAATAATGCAAGTAAAATAGTTGCAAAATGTTAGGCCCTCGGTAAATTCTCACTATGTGTTAGCACTCAGGCACATGCAAAATAACATGACAACCTTCAAGGTGGGAATAATGTGGGGTCATCTACATCCCTGAATCAGAGTGCCTAGGGGACTCATAATCTTGCCTCTAAACTGAGTAGTCTTAAGTGACTTTTGTCAGATGTAGGGAGTTGAATAATTATTCTTTTTACAACCTTCCCCCCAAATGACCTATGTGTGTCTGATCATCTTTTCGGTTTGCTGAATAGAAACTGGTCTTCCTTCTAGTTCCTTTATTCTACAGTTAAATGTACTATAGGAAGGTTAAAATATTTTCCCCCCTTCCCTGCTCTGAGATTGGGAGATGAACGATTGCTTTAAAAAGATATGACAATATCAATTAGTTAAAATAATTCTTAGAGAAACTCACAAGTCAAAGATCAAACAAACTAGAAGGGTGTGAAGGTTGAAAAGTAGAGAGATGAGGTTGTCAGCTGCCTAGATCCTGGAACCAGACTGCCTGAGTTTAATTCCTGCCTCCAATACTTATTAACCTCATGACTTCCAGAAGCTACCTAGCTTATCTACGCCTCAGTTTGTCTTATAAGGTTGTTGTGATAATAAAATGATAGGTACAAAGAGCCAGAGTGCTGGGCTCATAAGTAATCTTTGTCTTAAAAGGTTGTTGTGATAATAAAATGATAGGTACAAAGAGCCAGAGTGCTGGGCTCATAAGTAATACTCGCCACATGTTAGCACCACTGTAATTTTCATCATCACAGCAGCATTTCCCAAAGTGTATTTCAATATCCCTCTGAATCAGTGTTTTGGGGAATATTATTAAGAGATTTAGTTCAAACAAAAAAGGGGACTATGTAGTAAGTAAAAAAAATTCTTTTAAGAAATCCTGCTTTTGTTTAAGGCAGAAATTCTCAAAGTCTTTAACATGCTGAAACATATTGTGAATCACCAAGAAGGGGATATAATATAAAATATTTCCCAAACTGACTTTTTACCTCAGAGCCCTTTACTAGAGGTTCATCTCATCTGACTGATAGTTTACACATTTTAGAAAATGACAGGCTGGAGTAATATTTATATACAATGTTGAAATGATAACTATCTAAGTTGCAAATCATGTTTTGTTCTAAATACTATTCAGTATATATATTTTTTCTTTTTTTTCACTTCTCAGTAGTAAGAGGACATTATTCAGTATATTATTCTTGCTATACAGCTTAGCAACAAATCTATCCATTAAGTCTGTAGCTTCATTCCAAGTTCTTTTATGAACCTTCCCAACTATACCACATGCTCAAGAACCCTTATTACAGTTCTCCACATCTTACATCATACTTAGTCATCACCTTGAATACTGATGCTACTCACAAACAGCTGTTGATAATGCACTGTCCTTCTAAAATTTATAAGCACAGAAAAACTATTAGAAAACCAATTATAAAACTCACCTCCCCTCCATTAACAAAATCCAGAACAAAATAAAGCTTTTCAGTTGTTTGAAAAGAATAATGTAATCCAACCAAAAATGGATGTTTCACATTTTTCAAGAGCACATTACGTTCAGCCATAATATGTTTTTGCTGGAAAAAAAGGTAAAGGATCAACTTGTATTATATATAAGAAAATAATTCTGTTAATTGAGAAAATGGGCTTAGGAGAAACAATAGCTATTTTATTTTACCTCTTTTCTGTTGAGAACTATTTTTTTCTGTAACACTTTGACAGCATAAAATTTTCCATCCAGTTTCCGTTTTGCAAGAAGAACCTGTCATAGTTAAAGATTGTGTATACTATTAGAAATTTAAATATTTTCATAGAAATAATTCACTTGACAATAAATCAATGCTTCTTAAATTTTGGAAAAAGGAAGTCCATGAAGGACCTAGATAATATGATTTTGTTTTGAAAATTGAGAAATACTGAACTTATTTCTGTAATTCTACTTTTCTTTAAATATTTTAATGAAACAGAAAAGGATGTTGATTATTTGAATAGCCAGGCACCATTTCTTTGTTACTTAATGCATTTATATTTGAAATTTTTACGAAATTTAAGAGCCAATATCTACATTGCTTGAGGGGTGTGTGTGCACGTGTGCACACAGGCAGGCTCCAGCCCTGAGTCCTGAAGAGTGCCCTTAGAAAATACTGAGGTATAAACTTTATGGTTACATAAAAAAAGGAGAAGGAAATGGTTTTTAGGTGATCAAAATGCACTGTTGTTCAAAAAGTTCATGAAAATTTTCATATTAGTCTTTAATTCCATTTTTCCATGAACTTTTTAGAGCATCCGCATTTTTAGGTTTCTCTTATAGGTTCTAAATTCAGAATAGTTCAGAGGAAGAAGCACCATATATAGCTGAGTTTCTATAATGGGCTGGGTTGCATGCAGACACTTTTAAGAAACTGGAGAAACCTAGAAGAACTCACTCCTGAAAAAGGTAGACATTCTCAAGGTTTTGCAAACCTTATAAAGGGATTCAAGATAACCCACAAGTTGTGTAACTATTAAATGACATGTTTCAAAGCTTTTTGAGATTACCTGACACAGCAACTAGTGACATTGCTGGCCTTACTTTCTAGTACTTCTGTGGTCTTCCTCGCTAAAACCTTAACCACACTCTAACCATGTGAAAAACATCAGACAAATCCCAAAGAGGAGCATCCTGCGATATTCACGACTAGTGCTCCTCAAAACTGTCAAGGTCATCAGAAACAAAGGAAGTCTGAGAAACTGTCACAGCCAAGGAGACATGACAACTAAATGCAATGTGGTATCCTGGAACAGAAAAAGGACATTAGGTAAAAACTACACAAATCAGAATAAACAATGGACTTTAGTTCATAATATCAATATTGGTTCATTAATTGGAACAAATGTACCATATTAATGTAAGGTGTTAACAAGAAGGCAAACTGTGGGGGTGGGGTGAGGAAGGCAGGAAACTGCTCTTTCTGCTCAGTTTTTCTGTAAATCTAAAACTGTTCTAAAAAACAGTCTACTAGTAAAAAACGTTCGTTATTCAGAAAGATGGACACAAAAGCTCTTCAGGTTGAAAATGTCCTCTCCTCAACTACTGGCACTTTTCTCATTTCCCACCCTTTTGTTCTCTACAGCATTTGACTCTGTTGAATGTTCCTTCTTAAATTTTTCCTTTTCTCAACGACTCCCAACTGCCCAACTTTTCCTTCTCCAATATTCTGACTGGTTCATCTTCAAGTGCATTCTGAGAAAATGCAAAGAATGTGGTAATTAGTAGGTACTGATTCCCTTCAAGGCATTTTTTTCAGTAGAGTGGCAGATCTGGAGAACAGACAGAAAGTTAAGAAGCAAATGGGCAAATGGAAAGCGGAACCAAGACCACACACTGAAGAAGACGTTAGAAAAAATGTTAGATTGCTGTTATTTAAGTTCAGCTTATCACATATATTTTTCTATTTTTCAAACAGATTGTGAATTTGCATGTGTTTCCTATTCCTTCTTTTCATACATTCTGTTTATGTTTTATCACACTTTGTTGGTTTCTAGCCATTTTGCAAGATTTAACATTTTATTAAACATAGTATAGAAAAACTCATAAGTCAACTCATAAGTCATTACAGCTTAATAAATTATCACAAAGTAAACACATGTATGTAACTACTATCCAGGTCAAAAAATAAAACTCTGCCAGTAGCCTGAAGCCTCCTTCTGCCCCATCTCAGTCATGACTCACCCCTTTCCTCCTCAAAGGTAACTACCATTATCTTGACTTGCAAAAACTGGTACGTTTCACCTTTTTTTCTGAATTTTATGCAATTAGAATCATATAGATAAAGTTGTCTCTGTCTCATTTCTTTTACTCTAAATTATGTAATATTCATTTGTGTTGTGGCACATAACATAGTTTTCATATTTTCATTGCTGTGTGGAATATTCCATTACGTGACATATTACAATGTATCTACTCTTGTTGACAAATATTTAGATTGTTTATGAATAATGATGTTATCAACATTCCTGCATATGCCTTTTCTAGGGTATATGAATTTTTTTTTTTTGTCTTTTTCGTGACAAAAAGGGTAAGGGGATCGCAACCCTTGGTGTGGTGTAGCCTGCACCGTGCTCACCGGCCATTCCTGTATAGGATCTGAACCCGCGGCGGGAGCGTCGCTGCGCTCCCAGCACCGCACTCTCCTGAGTGCGCCACAGGGCCGGCCCTATGAATTTTTTAATATATATGTTTTTTACCGGTAAGGGGATCGCAACCCTCGCCACGGTGTTGCCTGCACCACGCTCAGCCAGTGAGCGCACCGGCCATCCCTGTATAGGATCCGAACCTGGGGCCTCGGCGCTACCAGCATCGCCCTCTCCTGAGTGAGCCACGGGGCCGGCCCATGAATTTCTGCTAGATATATAGCTAAGAGTTGAACCAATGTTTCATAGTAATGTATATACTCAGCTTTAATAATTAACACCAGTTTTCAACAGCATAAAGACAAAACACCTAGAAGTACATCTAATTAAGGATGTGCAAAAATCCTATACAGACCACTACAAAATATTATTGAGAAAAATTAAAGATGAGCTATATTAACAAAAGGATATACCACGGTCATGGATTAGAAGACAATATTTTAAAGATGACAATTCTCCCCATATTCGATTTAATTGGGATTGCACTGATCTACAGATTCAATACAATCCCAATTAAATTCCAACATAATTTTTGCAGAAATTGACATGATTCTAAAATTTATATAGATATGCAAAGGGCTAAGAATAGCTTCTTGAAGAAGAATAAGGAGGGAAGAATTTGTGCTGTTGGATATCAAGCCACAGTTGTCAAGACAATGTGGTCCTGGTGCCAGCATAAACAATAGACCAATGAAACAAAATATAAAATACAGAAACAGAAATACAAAATACAAAAACAGATCTGTGCATATATGAACAGTGAATATATGACAAAGGTGGCCCTGCAGATCAGTGGGGAAAGAACAATCGTTTCATAAACTGTGTAGGATCAGCTGCATATCCATATGGAAAAAAATGAACTGTGACCATACACCTTACTTACAAGCAAGAACCAATTCCTGGTAGCCTCTAGATCTAAACGTGAAGTTGCCAAAGGATAATGTTTTTGTTTTTAATGACAGACTATCTCTAGCATCTCAATAGAATTGTGGGCATTTTGAGAGCTGGATCCATTTCTAACTTTCCATTGCTTAAACTAGCACAATGCCTGACAAGCAGTGGATGTCAATATATATTTGTTGCATGAGTGAACACACACACATGGGTTTGACTGGAGTCACAGTTTCAGGTCTCAATGAAACTCAGGATAAAAAGTACAGTTATCAAGAGCTATAAATACAGCAAAATATAATGAAACACATACATATTTATGAAGTATAATGCAAAAAAAGCACTTAAATATATTTGATAATTCTGACAACTTCATCTATGATGTTTTTCCTGGTAACCCTGGCCTCAAGTGAGTCTCCTTCCTTGGTGTGGCAATATTATCAAGTTAGGTGATTTATCCGACACTGTGAAGCAGAGTCTCTAAACATTCCTTTCCTTCCCAAACTATTATTTACACAGCTGCTCATTTTTGTCCTTCTCGCCTCAGCTTAAACAGCACATCTTTAAAGAAACCATCCTTGACCAACCCATCTAAGTGGGGATTTCCCCCTGTTGCCTATTGTCCTCTGTCACTTCATCCTATTCTTCATTTCCTTCCCAGGTCCATTACTATCTGTAGTTATTTACTTGATTGCACAGTTAATTGACTACTGACTATTTTCCCCACCAGGTTATAAGCATCACTAAGGTAGTAACCATGTCAGTTTTGTTCAACAGTATCTAACTAGGGGCCAGTAGGGTACTTAAAATATATTAGGTGCTCAACAAATACCTGATGAATAAGTAAACTTCATTTATAATTTGAGTAGATGCCTTATCTTCTTAATTATTCTGTTAGTACTTTTGAGGGAAGGGAAAGTATCTTAACTCCATATCCTGCATACTAAAATGTCCTATGGCTCACACATATAAAGCATGCATTCCTTAGGTACTTATTTACTGAATGAGAAAATAAAAACATTCTTACCTTGCCAAAGCTGCCTTTTCCAATAACTTTTAAGAAATCAAAGTCACTTGGTTTAGCACTGAAATAAATTAACAATGACTAGAATCAGCCCCCTAGAAATTGGAAAGATGTTAACTTTTAAACATTTCTTAGCACTTTATGCTTTAATAAATGTTAGGTACAATGTACTTCAGCATGATGACTCCAGCTTTTCCATTGGTAATATCTCATCTTTAACATGAGGGTACTTCTGAAAGTTTGTGGAAAAACAGAATGGAAAGATAGTACAAATTGCTCTAAGAACTTTTTGAAGTACCCTTGTATAAAATAGGTAATAATGAATGGTAATAATATCTTTCTGATTAGATCAAACATTTTATAACTTTATTTAAGCCTTGTTATGTTCTGCTTAAAAGGGACTTCAATAATATTCTCTCTGGGAGAAAAGGATCTTATATCTATAGTTCTGAACGCAAAGTAGATTGTACCTAAACCAATTTTATTAACAATAAACCAGTGTTGTTAATGAGGAAATTGAATAATTATGTAAATTACTAATACGTTTCAAGGACTATCTAGTATCTGGTAATTCTTCTGAAAAGGAAGTTACTAGTTGGAACACTTAGTAAAGATGCTAAGAAAAATTTCTGATAGAGAAAAAAGTCATTACAGTGTTTTACGTATAAATCACTCATTTTATATTAGAGATAAAAGACATCTCCACTTATTCTCATGAATGGTAATATAGGAAAGCCAGGAATAGAAAAGCCAGAGGAAATAATACTAAAACTGTCCTTATATTTACGTTAACCTATCAGGTAAAAACAGCATTGGCTGTATGTAGGCAAAAGCACATGGCAGCAGAAAGTTGAGCTTAAGCAGCCAGAAGAGTTGTTTCCTCCAATAGTATCAATTCCTAAGTTGTACTAGGGAGAGGGGAATTTAGATTTAAAACTTGAAGTTTCCTTCAATTCATTATTAAAAGATATAGTCAACTGAAACATGAGAGTAACACAGGTAGTAACAGGTAAAGATTAGTGAGGTAAATACTTAACTAAATTTTTCTTCTTCAGAAACCTGCTCTTTGGACTATTTTGTTCTTTAATGATATGCTGAGATACTAAAATGACTTTTTAAAAAGAGGTAAACAAATTTAACAGTGAAATAAATGCAAATCTCTCAAACATGGTTAATAGGCTAACTGCAGCTATACCCAAGGCCCCATTGTTAACTGTTGGTGATGACCCTTTAAAGCAAATTTGTATTTATGCACTGTCTCACTGACTAAATGCTATGAATGACAGAAAAGAATGCTCCATGCAAATCTCTCAAACATGGTTAATAGGCTAACTGCAGCTATACCCAAGGCCCCATTGTTAACTGTTGGTGATGACCCTTTAAAACAAATTTGTATTTATGCACTGTCTCACTGACTAAATGCTATGAATGACAGAAAAGAATGCT